TATTTCAGAATCGTACCGATATTCAAATTTAAGGATTTCTGTTAGACTGAAGAGAGAGAAAGCGCTTTGAGAGACCTTATAATGACCTCTCAACTTACAATTTGTTTTACTGGCTTAACTTGTATCGTTTAGTTCTTAAGTTCTTACCCATGGCCATAATTTCTCCTTGTTTTGTATAACTGCTTTGATTTGAAACAATTATACGAAGGTACACAAACTAAAACGAGTGGTTACAGAACAAATTATCCCTTTTACGCATTTATTCGAGGCGAAATGTATAAGCAGAGAGGCTACGTAATTGATGACGCTACTCACAATATTTAAATTCGATTACGAAACTTTATGCCTACTTAATTTAAATAAGTAAATTAGGAGTCTTTGAATTGGTCTTAGCAAAACTCCACTATTCGAGACTTGAAGAAAAGATAGTTGAAAATGTCAGCTTATCGAATAAATTCAGCTGATAAAACGGTATTTTAGCCATTCTATGTTGTTCCATTGAGAACCATGTTAGAGTTATACTCTCAAGACAAGTTGGTGAAAATGTTCTAAGGTTAGGAGTTTAAGGTGAGTAGGTTCAAATTAGTAATATTTTGTGCAGTACATGAACTCTTGATTAAGGAATAAAGAATACAATATGAAGATATATCTTGGATTGGGTCTGCATTTTGAATTTGAAAAAAAAAAACATTCCAACAATAAAACTTTAAGTCCTTTCCGTTTTTGCTCCTGAATCCCAGTAAATACTGGATACGGAATCTCCCGTTAAATATCCTACGTAGATTTGCCCAGAACAACCTTTAAAAGTACAATTATATTCAACTTATCAAGGTGACGCCCGGTTATAAATTGTTCATAACAAGTACCACAAAACCAACGATTCATCTAAAAGGATTTTCATGAATTGTTTCTGGGAAAAAGAATGCATCGTAATGTTGATTAATTAGAATAAATATTCTAAAACCATTTACCGATAATAATAGTTCCTAGGACGAGACAATGACTATGAGATAGTGTATGCTCCCAATGCATAGATATTGCCCAAGTACATCGTTTTGTGTAATTAACTGCAATGACGCAAAATATTCAGTCATGCCAGGGACGAGAACCAGTGCCTTCTACGTGGCATGGTCGCTGAAAGGCAAACACCCATCATTCCAAACTCTCCACCCTCTTCTCTACTCTCCTCTCCTCATTTACAGCTACTACTACTCCATCAACTGTAACTTCTGACATAGGCATCCACCCCATTTCCCCACTGTCACTGCCATTATTATTATTATTATTACTATATCAAATGGCAGGCGTCTTGATTGTTATCATTAGCCCTTTAGTTGACTTCAGGCTTCACAGAGAGGAAGGTACATCAAATTGAAAAAAAGTCGAGAGGGGTGGGGGAACAGAAGTGTGTTTCAAAGATGTAAAAGAGACAGACAAATAGGTAGAAAAAAGGTGGGGTGAGTTCTATGGAAGTAGTCTACTATGACATATAGTGAGGTAATGGTAGATTAAAGTGAGAAGTCAACTGCAAGCCTCAGGGTGCACCACGTGAAGGTAAGTCTATCGCACACCCCCTGCCACCGCCATTGCTCCCCAGAGGTTGTATGGGATTGTGAGAAGTTGTGGAGTATTAGAAGAATAAGGTGGGCGGAGAGGTGGAGGAAGCTGCTGATTTGAGATGTGAGTGTGTGTGGGTGTTGGTGTTGGTGTTTTTCGTAGGTTAAATATTTAAAATCTGTTTTATCGCCCATGGGCGCTTATTTGGGTGGCAGGTTATGTGATTCCACAAGTAATTTCAATGAAGAGAGAGAGAGATTGGCAATTGTCAGTTCACCAAAATTTTTCCATGCCTTTTGCCGTCAGCAATAAGTTGAATCTGCCAATGCCCATAGTTCAAGGCTACAGAGCATATGCTTCGTCTCAGTGAGTGAACAATTAGTGTCCCACAGGCAGTATTTAAAGAACCTATCAGATCTACTCCAAGGTTCACGCTCTATCGAGTATCTTGTCGCAATAAAAATGGAGCTTGCTAGAAAGTCAGCAGCCTAGTCAGAGCCTGTCTTCAAGCTAGCTAGCATGTATGCAGATCATAAATGTTTGTTTCAAATGGCAGGCGTTATGATAGGTATCATTAACCATTTAGCTGACTTCGGGCTTCACAGAAGGAAGGTTCATCAAAGTAGCAGAAATTCGAGGGGTGGGGATCAGAAGAGCGATTCACAGATGTAAAAGAGCCAGACAGACACAATGGTAGAGAAAACGGTAAGATAAGTACTGTAGAAGGGGTCGAATATGACAAGCAGTTGGGCCATGGTAGTTTGAAGCGAGAAGTCAACTGCCGGTTAATAGACTTTTTTGCCGTATAAGTATACGTTGCCCAGGGTGCACCACGTGGAGGTAAGTCTATCGCACACCCCTTAAAGGCCACTCCGCGAACGGGAATTGAACCCGGGTCTTCCGCGTGACAAGCGGAGATACTCACCACCATACTATCGCGGAGGACTTCGGATCATAAATGAAAAGTGATGAAATTTAGCCATTGCCTAGAGATCAGGTATTACTGATCTCTTCATATTCCTTGCCATAAGCAGATGCTCACTTTTCCATGTCCTTCGTATTTTTTTGGTGTGTTTTATGAGGCTTATTTCTTTTGCAACATTCTTTTCCTATTTCTTACCTTTATGACGTTAATGGGTAAAGACCTAATTAGCCCAATCTTCCTGCAAAGTCCTGATCCATTCCGGGAATCGGTTGATGTAATATATGGGGAATCATTTCATTTCCATGTGGAGGCTTATTGAAAATATCTATTAATTGATCTCTCACTCTTCCACTCTCTCGTACTGATCAATTTCACCTACTCCACAGCAATATGCAACTGGACAATAGAATATGGCAACATAAACATTGACACTTGACAATTTGAACTTTTAAATTTCATTCTTAGTTTACTGATTAAAGAGTTTGGTTTTTTAGTAGTTTGAGACGAAAAAATACACCTGTGCTTCATGATATTTTTGACAAATAAAGTTGCCACTTAGTGAATACACAAACCGAGATACATAGAACATTTAAAGGGCATAATTAAGTAAAACTGAACTTGGAGTTCTGTAATTACTTCGTGTGGCAAGGTGAGTACATTTGAATCCGAGGATCTTTACCTTTTAATTAAATAAAAAAAGCGTAGATTTTTCAAATCCGCTATAAAATAAGGAATGGCCTCTAAAATATGCAACAGAATCAGCCGGCATAATTAAATATAAATAAATTTCGCTCCAATTTAGATTTCAGTCATCTTGTCATGCTATAATTTATGCAAGAATATTTAAACGGTACTTAACGCCTTTAAATCCATATTAGACAAGGAACAAAACAATAAACTATTGATTATTGGTCCCCCCCACCCCAGTAATATAAAAAATTGATCATACCATACGACCTCCTTTGTCATACTTAGAAGTTTCTTTAATTCTAAAACATCTGCGTTTTCAAACATTCTAGACATGCTATGTATTTACCCGGGTTGTGGTTAATAGCACATTAATAGTCTTGCACAATAATAATAATCTTTTCAATTGAAGCAGAAAATCCATTAATGTCGCCAAACATATCACATAAACTTTTTTGGCTTCCTAAAGTTCAGTCTCACCTTAGTAGGTGGACAACATTTTCAGACAAATGTTTTTTGAATCTACGCGGGCTTGTCTGCTTAGTCAACTATAACCCACTTGAGAAATTAAAGGCTGCTTAATTGGTTACCGAGCGTTATTAAGTACCAGGAAAACATTATCAAGTTTTGCTATTTAATTAAGTGCTGATGTTCTTAGAATTACGTGCGACTTATTTTTCAAATTATAAATGCGTGACTTTTGGCCTAAAAGTCTACTTCTTATTCGTCACCTGACCAAAACACAATACGATTGGAGAATAGAGGGGGGAGGGGTGGGGGAGGCGGGGGGGAGGNGGGGGGGGGAGGGGTGTATTACTGCCCACCTTCCTTTCCACGCTACACTTCCATCCCAACTGCTCCATTGGCCCACATAGCGGCTTGCTGACCGCACCCTAAGTTGAGGAATCAGCCGTATTCGAATTGGGTGAGGCCAATAGTTTAGCCTAACCAATGAGCACATAGAGGCTTTTATTTGTGTAAACGCAGTAATGAACAGACAAAACCAATGAAAGAGGTACTTTTGTTGTGAATACGCCCTTCGGTCTTAGCTTCTTATCTTCCATCTGTGGATTCGGCGCCACGTTATGACATTTTATCGCTTTTGCCAAACGAATAGTTGTCTTTCGGACGAGGAAATTATGGTGCGTGCAATTATATCCCGTATTGCAGTTTCCATCCTCATAGTGATTTTTTTTTAATTTTAATATTTTTAATAATACTGATTTAAATTTTATCAGATCATTTAGAGCTATTGCCTTTCGCATAGTTAAATAGTCCCACCAATGGTCTCGAACCCAATGCCATAAATCCCATTTTCAAGAAGTGAAAAGTCATTCCAATATTTTCTGAAATTCACTGGAATTTTAAGTGTTTCATATTATGCTCATATATTTAACTTAATTTTTCTGACTGATATCCAACTTTTACCTGATTGGTCGCTTGTGTATAAATATTTGGAAAATTATGAGACTAATTCACTCTGAAATATACTTTGTAACAAAGCCGTCCTATCAGAAAGAATAAGCATTCGTATTAACTAAAAATAAACCAAATTTTGATGGCTAAATTTTACCTCGTAGAATTGATTCTAATAACTTACTGAAGGCACGATTTTGTCATGAAACGGTGGAGGTTTTCAACTAATATTTAATTAGTGGATAAGAGAATGAAATTTGAAGAGTTCGCTCCAGAGACGCAACGATCATTTCCTGAGTTTAATTGAAAATAAGCCTCCATTTTATATATTTCATTACGTTTCCTTGACTTGTCAAAAAATTTAGTGGATAACTGGATGAAAGTTACACCAGTTATCAATTTTCTAGGAAAGGAAATGGCGTCAGTATGTATCTCTGCATTAAAACAAAACAGACTTATATGAAAAGATTGACGACATTATTTTAATATTGCTCATAACGAAAGGCAGTACAATTCTTCCAGTCAATTTGTGGATTATTCAAATTTGCGAATAGATTCAAGTCTCAAAGTGTAGTGAATATTTGATAGGGTTTTGAAAGCATCTACTCTAAAGAGGGTAACTTATTCAAATTATTCAACATTTATTTAAAATAATTTGAAATAATGACATTTAAAAAAACAAAATCTTTTGCTAGGGAGTGCCCAAATTATTGACATTTATTGCAATGACGTCTGTGTTTTATGAAGCAAGTTGTCAGTTAATGCGAAATCTAGTAATTAAATATCTTAGTTAAAATTTCTTTCGTCTTCAGGTGATTAATTTGCTCTACTGTGGAAATAAAAATTGTTACCATTCAAGAGCCGTTTTTGCACTTTGTCGTTCCACAAAAGAGCTTTGTTTCATGTTGACAAATTTAAAAGGTTAGATGAAAATGAGGAATAAATTCAAATTTTACATTTTTTCAATTTAGGCCGCTCACAATCTAACCCCGCGCCAACTGGAAGGTAAATCAAACTCTTGCTTATACTTCCAACCAATTAAATATTTAAATAGTTAAAATAAAGGAAATAGGAAGGAAACTACTTGGTAGCATTAAAAGCGACTTACTTCATTGGAAATCTTGGGTCATAAAGTTAGCTTGTTTTTAGTCTTGTTGTATCACAACCAAAATTCGTTATAGTGATTGTTAAGATAATATTTAGGGCTCCTGAGAACTAAATGACCAATAAAATAATTTTAGAGGCCGTTTCTTCCAACTTGTTTTCCTCTCTCGACTGTTTGATAGAATTCGGTCAAATTCGAATACAGTGGATCTCACTTGAGCTCTCCTTAAAATCGAATACCTTGATGGTCACTAAGCTTCTTTAACTTTATTTATTACCTACCTATTACATGGTTGGCAATTGCCTAAAAAAAATTGCGGTAGAAACTACCTAGCATGCTTTTTTCGTAATTAAGAACTCCGAGATATTTTCAACTGTTTCGATGCAGACGGAAACGGTACAATAAGCAAAGAAGAGTTCTCCAAAATTCTCAGTGTTGTCAGTTTAAATCCCTCCACTGTACAAATTGAACTGCTCATGAGCCAAGTGGATATAAATGGTTAGTTTAAATTAAACAAGCATGTAATCCATTGGATACCAAAAATAAATGCCTCCATTGGTTTATCGATTTTTCATTTAGGTGATGGTCAAATAGCTTTTGACGAATTCGTCGAGTGTTTCGGCGCTAATGAACTGACTTCCGCTCCCGATGTTACAACTTTACAGGAAACTTTCCGAGTTTTTGACAAGGTAAAATGATTAAATTTCTGCATTTATTTGAACTAATATCTGGAGTTAGTCACCAATTGTTAGACAGTGTTTCAAAGCAAAGCGCATGTTTCACACCTAAAGAATATTTTCATCAAATATGTTCAACCTTGTCCTTAACAATAAATGTTTCATATCTTTCCTCCTCTCCATGTTTAATCCAACCTTTTTTCACAGCGTGTTCATTTATAGCAAAAAAATTTATTCTGGTGTATTTATTTAATTTTCTTTAAATCTTGAGTAGTTCTGTTGCAATCGATTCGTTTTCAGCATTTTAAAAATCTATAATGCTATTCGGAATACGCATTTTTGAAGCCTCGATGATAATAAGCGGACATTTCGTGGCGGTAAAGCATCCGTATTTAAGAAAATATAGGTTATGAAATATTTTTTCAAATGGCAGGCCTTATGATATTCATCATTGGCCCTTAAACTTTGACTTCAGCTTTCCCCATGGGTGGGGGGTACATATATAGCAGTTAATTAATAGCGGTTCATTAGCTGTCTTCTTGCTTCCTAGTATCTCTGGCTTTCCGTAGTTGTCTTTAGGGCTGGACACCGAATCAGGTGGGCCTTCTTCATTTCCTCCTGTAGGTCACATAGGGGGCATGTTGGTTGAGTGTATACTCCCAATCTGTGATGGTGTTTTGCCAGGCAATCGTGTCCGGTACGTAGTCTAAACTCATCAACGGCTTCGTTTCTTGCCACTGTCCACTGTTTCTCCCTGATTAAGGTTTTCATTGGATGGAAAGACATCGGCCGGTCGTGTCATCAAATATGTGTAAAGAGAAGTGGGTTAAATTACTATGGGAGCTAATCTTGGTAAAGTGAAGTTTGGTTTATGACTGCTCAAATTATGCCCCTGTTTATTATACATGCCTATATTTCAGGTTGTTTTGATAGCTACTTCATCCAGAGCTTACTAGCCAAATTGTTAAGTTAATTGGGCGGACACCCGCTTTGAATATACTTGATATCCTAATTACAAAGTTTGCAGGTTGATTCTAACTTAACCATAACATTATAGAGTTGATTAAATGTCATTCAAGGTGAACCCAATTCTATGGGTTATTTCATCCAAGATCCCCACTTATTGTGCTGGTTGGTACTAAAGGGTATCGGAGACGTGGCTATTACCGTCCACATTTTGATATTTAGTGGTTTAGCGTTAATCTAATTTAGGTTCAGGAAACACTGATCACCTGCCCACACTTAAGATCATGTTTGGAAAATGCCCATTTTATACTGTCTGCTCAATTTAGAAAAAAATATTCCCTTACCTTTATCAAACACAAACTTCCCAGTAATTTGGCCTTAGATGTCCTTACATTTAAGTGTAAACTTTTATATCATTGGTTTTATTATTGTCATATTATTCACCATGATTGTGAAATCGGGATTAATCACATTTGAATAAACAATAAACATGGTTTATATCTCAGTTCTTTCTTGCTCTGAATTTTGCTTAATGACAATTTATTATTCAGGATAATGATGGTTATATAACATCCGCCGAACTTCAAACTGTGCTTCAACAGATGGGTCTGGAAGTTACCGGTATGTTCAATGAACTTAATTTTCTCAATATTTCGATCATTCTGATTAGCTGAAGGTCATTCGCTAAACACCCTTAAATTAAAGATGCCTTTTGGCATAAAGCTAGCAGATAAAATGTTTTTTTTCTTCTTTCATTTTATGTCTTTTGGCTCATATTTTAACCAAACCAATAGACTATAAAATTTAAACTGCCAAACGAAATTTATAATTTCGACCACCAAATCGATAATTAACCAGTGGAATGAGACTAAAACGAATAATAATGAAACATAGTTATAGGGAAAAGCAAATCTGTCATAAAAAGGATCGCCTTGAGACGGCGATAAACACGACATTTCGGGTAGATTACGAGGCAGTCATAAAAGGCTTTGACGTTACGGACCGTAAATTTGATGGACAATGTCGAACTCTAAAAATTTGATGTTGCTTTTAAGTCCACACCGTGGAAGGGAATAAGATAAGAGGAATTTAAAGCAATGTTGATTTGAAGTTTGCGGGTTTGAAACTCAATTTGGAAATAGCTCTATTCGAAAGTTACTATTTAAATGGGTAATAATAAGTTGTCTCCAACCTTTCCGTTCTATTTTTCGCATTCTGATAAGTCATCGTTAATTGTGTTTCATCAATTTTATATAAGTGATCGATTTAATTCATTTTTCATTAAATATCTTCTAATCAGTAAAATAATTGAATGGTTCGATGTTGGCTAAATAAAAGAAATCGATTAGTTGGAGAAAATGGAATAAAAAACGATGCCAAAAAACGAATCACCTTTTCAGTCATTGCAAAAAAAGATGTCTTGAAGTGGTAAGGCATTTTAGTATGTTTAAAAGTTTCCAATAAGCACTTGATATCGTGACCAAATTTTATGACATTCAATGAAAGATTCATGGCATTTAGGATGTGAACTACCCATTTGGTAGATAGTGTTAACCTTAATCCAAAACTCAACCGAAACAAAACTCTTTGAAAGCTAATCATTACATCTGTTAACCGATGTCAGTTGATTCCAACAATGAGAAAAAGTGCTACAGTTTTTTCAGCAAATCTTGGTAGTAATAAAATGATAATTTTCAACGACTTAAACTCAGTGGATCACATCCAATCGTATCGAAGTTCAAATATCAGACACGTTATTTCAGGTTCTATAGGGAGTTCATGTCCATGATGTCAGAGCACTTTGATATTCTGATTAAACTGAACATTCTGTCTATTTAATCCATTTTTCAATGAGAGCAATGAAATGGTCTTAGGCACTCGTTCAGATATAGAATGGCACTTTCTGTATAAGTAGAGAAGATAAAATGCTGTCTGGAAAGTTTAAGTTACAGATAGGCTAAGTAAAGAATAAGTAGATAGGTCAATGCAAAGTGACACGTGGTTGAAGGAAAAGGGGAATTAGACTTGTGTAGCTCTTGAGTGAGGATAAGTACTCACAGTAGGTCCCTCAGCTTAAATTCAGATCGATTACAACTAGGGTGGGGTTGAGGGGAGGGCGGCAAAATGGTCAATTAGAATCTCAATAAGCGTTAACTTCATTAGCAGGTTCGTACGTACAAGTTCTTTAAGCTCACTAGTCAGATTTAACTAATGAAGTATTCGATAATACCTTAGATAATTTAATTCAATTATTTAAACTATTAAACAGTTCCAGACTTCGTATTAGACCATATGTCTAGAGGTGGTTAAAGGGACGAATATTCGTTTCCAAAGTCACTTTTAATGAGACAGAAAAATAACTCGTTAACATTCAAATTTTTATCATTCATAAATAGATAGAATTGACAAGCAATTTCAAGTACGCATTAAATCAAGATTTAATTATATTAGCAACCCATTGAAGGCAGTATTTTATTAGAACACTAAATCTTTGACTTGTTTAACATTTAACCCATTAAGTAAACTCAAAATCACAGTAAGGACGATAAAAGTACACTTATTATAAGTTCCTGTAATGTTTGTTAAGTTAAATGGCTGACTGATCAAGTCGAAAAAGACTAAGCATTTAATTAAGCCGAGCATTCATTCATTTGAGTTTTTCCATAGGAATGAAGTAATCACTTCGTAATTTAAGAAATTGTAGCGGATTGCTACGCTAGTAAAGCCTGACTTGGTTAAAGACTTGTAGCGGATTGCTACCTTAGTAAAGCCAGACCGGTTGAGAATTGTAACGGATTGCTACCTTAGTAAAGCCTGACCGGATTGCATTGTAGCGGATTGCTACGCTAGTAAAGCCTGACCGAAATCTCTATGGCAGATTCTCCAACACCTAGCTAGACTCCCAGAACAGCTAAGCTATAGCTCTCTCTATGGCAGATATTCCAACATCTAGCTAGACTCCCAGAACAAGCTAAGCTATAGCCTAGCTATAAGGGAAACTCATCTAGCTAGACTCCCAGAACCAACTAAGCTATAGCCCACATCTAGCTAGACTCCCAGAACCAGCTAAGCTATACCCCAGCTACGCTAGACTCCCAGAATAAGCTAAGCTATAGCCCAGCTATAGGCTAGACTCCCAGAACCAGCTAAGCTATAGCCCAGCTATACCCCAGCTATAGCCCAACTATAGCCCAGCTATCAAGGAAACAGACGTGTAGCCCGGTACACGTTTATTCAGTGAGTATATTGTAGATAAAGTGTACACGAGCTATTCACTCATGAGATGGGGGATTAGGTTAAACAAACGGAGGCTACTGATTGGCCACTGTTTGTACGGTCGCTGCATACAGAGTTGTACGGCCGCACCTCCCAATCCTGGCGTGAAGACATGCGATGACGCACAAAGCGATAAGGTGTCCACAAAATTTACAAAACGATTTGAAAGAGGATGATTATAAAAATCACACCGGGTTTGAGAAGTCACGTAAAGAAGCCATGAGAATTCATACATTTTCTATCAAAAATGCTTTAAATCAAAACTGGAATTACTCAATTAGGTTCGTAAGGTCAGTTTCGCAAGGTCAGACACGATAAACTACGCTGACTGGTCAGTCACAAAGTACAATGTACATGTAGATTGTAATTAGATTATTACTTAATCGAGAGCGAACTTTAATTAAATCCTCTCTTTTAAAATTAAACAACTTTGGAACATCCAACTGTATCTCGGCTATTAAGAAAACGGTATGGTAGTAAGTCAAGACCTATTTTGTCGGTGCGAAGTGGCGAAAATAACGATTATCTTAGAGATGCAAAATAGCACGTGTATTTAGATGTTAAAGCATAAAATATTTCATGGTAAAATGGTGATTTCAGTAGTAAAGTAAAAAAAATCCCTAAGTTCCAATCGACTCAGTTATTATCTCCACTTAGATGACTACAGGTTTGGAGGATGTCAAAGGGTTGTAAATGAGTAGATTGAGGACAATTAAACAATTAGCATAGTAATGAGGTTTGAATCAAATACTGAATTTTCATTGTTATTGCAATAAATACTTATGCTTCAATGGTTTCTAAACCATAAAACACTCGAAATAGAGTCCATGAGGCAGAGTATATTGTAGTTAAATAGGGTCAGTTACAATTAAATTAATGCCAAGACACTGTCTCTTAATGAATAAGTTAAATTGAGGCAAATAGGAATGCACTTAAGGCAGAAGCCATATGGGAAGGGTTAAACTTTAGGTCAATTAACTCGCTCATTGTCCAAGTTGACTATAATCGAACTTCCGGTTTCAATTGCTGGTAACACTATAGATCAGTGCATTTTAAAATAAAGCTTTAGTTAAATGTATCAACACATTGGATGTATGACTTTATTCTATCTAGTTGAGTAAATGAGATTGAAAGTCACTAAGTATGGATCAATTTAGAATTCCTTTGATTTGTTAGCCTCATTTGTTTTATTATAATGAAGAACGCTTTCCACTCAGGGCATAATCGAGTATATTTAC